AGTTCTGAAACGAACCAAAGAGAAAAGTCTCTCAAAAATCTCAGATTCAATAGCCTCCCTCAATTAGGGTTACAAGCCCCTTTAAATAGGGAAAAGTACTTCTAATCAGAATAGGAAACTAACACCCTAAGCCCTAATCATAATAACCACCAATTGGGCCTTAAATAAGTGAATGTTCAGCCCAAAATAATATAAAAAACGTGAAAATCATTAAAAGTAGCCTAAAGTAACATGAAATATCAGTTTGTTACAAATTGCGACAGAATTGTGAGATTGACACAAACTGTGTAATTTAGCATAAATGACCTCAATTAAGCTTCTCTTGAACCTGAATGATGTTTATCATGCCTTGATAATCATCCAAGCTTCGATTTGCTTGTTGTATGTTGTTTTCAACCCACATCTGCTCAATAAGGCCATTTAAAGCTTCACGCATCTTCTTAGCTCTAGCTCGCATGACTGGACCTCCTTGGGTGTGTAGTGGATCACATGACGTGGTAGATATGCTGTCGTCTTGATTCCCATCACGTTGAGTTCATGATACATATTGATCATGAGTCGTTGAAGCACCTCAAGGGACAAGGTAAGTTGAATAGATGACATGCTAAGTGGGTGGAATTCCTTGAGACATTTTCCTATGTGATCAAGTACAAGCAAGGAAAAGAAAACATTGTGGCTGATGCATTATCTCGCAGGTACACACTTATCTCTACTTTAAGTGCAATGTTTTGGGATTTGAGCACATTAAAGAATTATATGCTAATGATCCAGATTTTGCTAACGTGTTTAATGCATGTGAGAAGGCAGCTTCTAATAAGTTTTATAGGCATGATGAGTTCTTATTTAGAGAAAATCGATTATGTGTGCCTAACTGCTCATTAAGAGAATTGTTAATAAGGGAATCACATGGGGGTGGCTTAATGGGACATTTTGGAGTTAGGAAAACTTTAGATATTCTGAACAATCACTTCTTTTGGTCACATATGAAACGCGATGTTGAAAGGATGTGTGAAAGGTGCGTAACATGTAAACAAGCAAAATCTAGAGTTTTACCACATGGTTTGTATACTCCCTTACCCATACCTACTGAACCTTGGGTTAATATATTTTGTTATGGGCTTACCAAGGTCGAAAAGAGGCTGCAATTCTATTTTTGTTGTTGTTGACAGGTTCTCGAAGATGGCACACTTCACTCCATGTCATAAAACCGATGATGCAACTAATATTGCTGATCTGTTCTTCAAGGAGGTTGTTCGTTTACATGGTGTTCCAAGGACTATTGTTTCTGATCAAGATGTTAAGTTCTTGAGTTACTTTTGGAAGACCTTGTGGGGAAAGTTGGGAACTAAGCTATAGTTTTCAACTACTTGTCATCCACAAACTAATGGACAAACAGAAGTGGTTAATAGGATGTTGTCAGCCCTATTGCATTCTATTATTCAAAAAACTTGAAGAATTGGGAAGAATGTTTGCTGCATGTTGAATTTGCTTATAATCGGAGCGTCCATTCAGCAACTAACTGTTCACCATTTGAAGTTGTGTATGGTTTTAATCAACTCACCCCTTTGGATTTATTGCCATTACCCATTGATGAATGAGCTAGTTTGGATGGGAAAAAGAAAGCTGAAGTGGTTAAGCAACTACATGAGAGGGTGCGACAAAACATAGAGCGACGAACTGAGCAATATGCCAATCAAGCCAACAAAGGGCGCTAGAAAGTTGTGTTTGAACTTGGAGATTGGGTTTGGGTGCATATGCGGAAGGAGCGATTCCCTGCACAAAGGTGTTCTAAGTTGCAACTAAGAGGTGATGGACCATTTCAAGTGATTGCAAGGATTAATGACAACGCATACAAGTTGGACCTACCTGGTGAATATAATGTTAGTGCTACTTTTAATGTTTCTGATCTTTCTCCTTTTGATGTAGGTGACGATTTGAGGACAAATCCTTTTGAGGAGAGAGGGAATGATGGGAATTAAGATGACCCCACATGTACCACGTTAAGAGATCCATTACACATTCTAGGAGGTCCAGTTACAAGAGGTAGAGCTAGGAAGATGTGAGAAGCTTTAAATGGCCTTATTGAGCAGATCTGGGTTAATGACAACATGCAGCAAGTTAATCAAAGCTTGGATGCTTATCAAGGCATGGTAAACATCATTTAGGTTCAAGAGAAGCTTAATTAAGGTCATTTATGTTAAATTACACAATTTGCATCAAAATCTCGCAATTCTATCACAATTTGTAACAAACTGATATTTCATGTTACTTTAGGTTACTTTCAGTGATTTTCACATTTTTTTTATATTATTTTGAGTTGAACATTCATTTATTTGAGGCCAAATTCGTGGTTATTAGGATTAGAGCTTAAGGTGTTAGTTTCCTATTCTTATTAGAATTACTTTTCCCTATTTAAAGGGCTTGTGATGAGAACCCCAAAGAGAACAATGAGACCCACAGCACGACAAGGGATTTCTAAACTCCAGGAAAGCTAAATCAGGTTTATAATGGGACCTTGACCCGTTGTTTATGTCGCAACAAGAACCAAAGGTAAAAACCTTGACCCATTGTCTATGACACAACAAGAACCAGAGGTATAAAGTTGGTTGACACCACACCCTCAAACAATTAAGAACGAGAATGATAAGTCAGGTTAGAACGCCACAAGAATAATCTTGATAAGTTCTGTAAAGTTCTGAAACGAACCAAAGAGAAAGTCTCTCAAAATCTCAGATTCAATAGCCTCCTCCCCATTAGGGTTACAAGCCTTTTAAATAGAGAAAACAAATCCTAATCAGAATAGGAAATTAACACCCTAAGTCCTAAACCTAATAACCACGAATTGGGCTTCAAATAAGCAAATGTTCAGCCCAAAAATAATACAAAAGAAAACGTGAAAATCACTAAAAATAACCTAAAATAACACGAAATATCAGTTTGCTACAAATTGCGGCAGAATTGTGCAATTTTGACGCAAACTGTGTAATTCCATGCAAATGACCTCAACTAAGCTTCTCTTGAACCTGAATGATGTTTACCATGTCTTAATAATCATCCAAGTTTGATTTGCTTGTTGTATGTTGTTTTCAACCCAGATCTGCTCAATAAGGCCATTTAAAGCTTCATGCATCTTCTTAGCTCTAGCTCACGTGACTGGA